CTTCTCACTTTATCTTTTCTTTCTCTTTCCAGTCCTTCCTTTAAAAGGTTTTGGACTGTAGCACACACTACACAGCTGCAATCCCAGCACTTGGAAACCTGGACGTGATAGAATCAGGAGTTCAAGTTCAACTTTAGCTATTAATGAGACTGAAGTCAACCTGAGCTATATGAATCACTGTCTCAAAAAAGAAAGAAAGAAAGAAAAGAAAAGAAAGACTTTGTTGTTCTTTAAGTCCATTTATTTTATAATTTACACAGTTTGAACTTATTCCTGCAATACCAACACAAACACACACATACACATATACACACACCAATCATATATATGTGAATAACCCCTGTGTATTATTCATAATAAAAACAAGCAAAATAAAGCAACTAAAAATAATCTATTTTAAATAACACAATCTGAATGCAGTTGGATATTTAACACCCTCCTGGATAAAGATAACCCTGTGCACTGCGATACCAAAATCTGCGGTAATGTTGCTGTTCAATGTTGTTCAATGTTGCTGATATGGTCCTGTGATTACTAGTTCCCTAAACTGGAAAATGAGTGGGATGTTTATTCATTGAAAGCTAAGCAGAGAATTCATAAAAACACAGTAAATAAAGGGGATTTGAGAAGGTATCGACAGCCTCCTAACGAAAGTTCAAGCACCACTGTCTGTGGGCACTCCTATCCACATGAAAACCAGCTTTCCTGAATACAAACACTTGTCATCCTATTTCTCAGATGACCAAATGGAATTATAGGAGACGAATGGCAACAAAAATCATTTTTGGAATAAACAAAAGCAGGCAATGCCTCCTAACCAGTCAGCCTCTTAAGCATTTAAATGGATGCTTAGAGAAGGCTCCCAGCACTTCAGCGCTTAAGCATCATTTAGCTCCATAATGCTTTCCACAATCTCAACTACTACCCCTTTTAGCAGGGAAAAGGAGAGAAAACTCCTTCCTCCTTCCCTGTCCAAGTGGGTCACTGTTGTCTCTCTCCGTTCAGCCTTTTCTAAGGAGGTTGCCAAGTTCTACTGTGGTTCACTGCATATTCTAAATGCTGGAAGTGGTTATGGCCAAACAAGGTCAGAGAATATGCTGCTGAGCAAGGATGGGGGTGTTCTTGGGAAAGACAGCGGCTGAGATTCATGTGGCCTCTGGGAGATGCCTTGCTTTCAGTACATCCTCATTGTTTACAGGGGCCTGCAGACTCGGCCTTCCTCTCTAATATCCCAAATTAAGAGCAGGATTTAAATGCCTTAAAGGTGTCTGCAATTATTTTAAACAAACAAAAAAAAATTGTCTAGTCACCCTATAAACAGAACTGTCGTTTTCAGTAAATAACACTAGCAAGCATTTCATCTGTCTTAAAAATACCAATTCCACTGATCAGCCACCATGGTCCTTTTCAATGCCCCTCTAGGCCACAGTCCAGAGAGTTCCAGGAAGGCTTACAAGACTCAGGGTAGGGCTAAGGATCCCGGCAAGGGCTGACCTGCACAGATGTGGAGGCTTGCTGCATTTTCTTCATTGTTAAAATACCACAGGGCTCTTGGTTTTCTTTATTTTCCATGAGTTCTAAGAGCATAATGATTTGAGATAATGGACAAAACGGAACAAATCTGACCCTTGAGCAAAATCTTAAGCATCAGGATTTTCCCAGATTGTTCTGTTTCACGAAGAACAAGGTAAGACCTGTCTTAGAAATCTGGCAGCATGGTTACTAGGGCTTCCTGGTATAACGAGCTTCAAAAAGAAGCAGGGAAGAAAGATAATAAGGTAGCCCAATACCTTAACAAAATCCTGGTTTTATGGGGCCCTACTTGTTATAACTTTTGCTTATAGACACCCTCAGGTCCAACTCTGAGTAATTCTGCAGAAAAACATGCCCACCTTCTACCTCTCCTAAGCAGTCAACAAAACTCCAAAGTAAAAATAAGACTCCCACCATAGTTCATTATATTCCTGGGCTGCTTCAACAGTATTCAAAGATGTAGAATGCCATGTTCCCTGAAGGTGCAGAAGCCACCCTGAGTGCAGAGGAGCAACTGAAGCCTATCTATACCCCTGTGTACCTTGTAGAGCTGTGACTGCTAGCTGCCTGCATCCAAAATGCCACTCCCCCCACCCCCACCCCGTCTTTCACAGCAAGAGAGCCTTGATTCAAACCCAGATACAAACCCACTTGAATCAGGAATGATAACCCCAGCCTCCCCTCTCACATGCAGTCATATGACCAAGTTCTGGCTTGACTTAAGAAAAATACGTGTTGTTAAAGGTTCATTAAAAGAGAGGGATTACCTTCTGCCACCTACCATGTGGATTTTATAGCTGGAATTCCAGTAGCTCTTTTTTTTTTTTTTTTTTTTTTTTTTTTTGATTTTTCGAGACAGGGTTTCTCTGTGCAGCTTTGCGCCTTTCCTGGGACTCACTTGGTAGCCCAGGCTGGCCTCGAACTCACAGAGATCCGCCTGGCTCTGCCTCCCGAGTGCTGGGATTAAAGGCGTGCGCCACCACCGCCCAGCTCCAGTAGCTCTTTTATACTTTAAAATGACCAACACTGAAGACAGAAGGCAGATGCAAAGACAGCAGAAGAGAGTGTGAGCCTGACAGACAGCCGATCCTCAGAGAGACACCCTATCAGACAGCCTCTGCTTACTGCAGATTCTTGTACACGAGAGAGGGTAAGCATTTATTTCATCACTTATCTTGTAGTACAGATGAGCTATTGGACTTTAAAAAAAACTGAACAAAATGGTCACTGATATGTCTATCACGCAATCCTAGGAGCCTGCCTCCTCTGAGACAAGATACTTAGCTGCCCTCCCCTGGAGAAACTCCTTCACTCAGAAATTCTACAGCCCAAGAAAGACATCAGAAAATTCTAGTCTTACATCTTGCCACAAAGACCAAAAGCTTGAGATCCACTCTGCCTCTGGATACACTCACTGTCCCCAGCATCCCATGGTTCTGATTTGGACCATGCAACTCCAGGTGCCTCACTGAAGGAGCACAAGGTATATGAGGTTGACCATTCTGGATCACAGACTAGACCAACATTGCCCACTTACCACCTGTGCCCAAAGTGAATGCAACCTGTAATGAGGGCACCATGTTAAGGCAGCCTTTAATACTACTGACCTTGTATACTGAACTAAAAATGTTAGCTTTGTGCTCATATGCATATTACAATCTTAAACATAAAATACTACTACTAGCAGCAGTAATAAGAGACATCACCCTTTCATCAATAAACACCATATGGCTTACATTGCAGCATCTGGCTGGTACTTCACTGAGATGGTATTTGCAATTGACTAAACATCAGTATCCCCATTTTACAGATGCAGGAACTGAGGCTTTCAGAGGACAGATGACTTAGTGAAGACTGCAGAGAGCTACAGCTGTAATTATAGCACAACTCAAGACTTGTTTTAAACTTAATTTTTAAAAAAAATCTATACAATCCTGTCTTTCAAAAGATAAGGGAGTCTTGAGTCAGCAAGATGGCTCAGCAGGTAAATGTTCCTCATATCCAAGTTGATGATCTGAGTTCCATTCCTAGAACCCACGTGGTAGAAGGACAAAATCTGTTCCTAAAAACTGCTCCCTTACCTCCATGGACATACTGTGCTGTGCATGCATGTGCATACACACATACACACACACACACACACACACACACACACACACACACACACACACACACACAAATACATATATGCACAATAAATAAAAACATAAAATATTTTTCACCAGAACTTCAAAAACCATCCTAATTCAACCTCAAATTTTGTATTAACACAAGCACTTCTTAAAATAGAAACAAGCAATAAAATCTTGATAGAATTGGTCAACAAGTGGCGAACAGTGCCAGAACACAATGAGACAGACCTCCAAAGTGTTCTCTTTTAATTCCATCTTTTTTAACAGTTTCCTTTCAGGGCAACCAATGTGTTCCCACAAGGAGGGTCATTATGCACCTCCTTAGTTTATAAATATCAAAATTACAAAGAAACAACCAACAGCGTGTTCTTGCTGGTTATAGCTCTGTGTGCCCTGTTTCTTTTGAAGCAGACCTGGGTATTTTCACAGCTTTGTTGAGCATCCTCTTTAAGTCAGGGAAAGAACATTGAAAGAAACCCAGTCCTGAAGCATTCATTGAATATACCCGAAACTCATCAAGGAATGAAACAATAAGTCAGTTTAAAACAGAGGGAAGGCATCTGTCTTTATATTAGAAGCAAAGGATTTGCATATATGTACATATGTGTGGGTTTTCTGTTTAATTGAAGGATATATATTAAAACATAGTAATTGCAGGAAAAATTTGTCCTTATAATTCCATTTTTGAGGGGCTAAAAGGTAAAAACTGAAAATACTCCTAAGAGAAGAAAGTTAAAGGGAAGGATTGAGCTCCCTCTTTCTTCCTTTTGAAGAAATTCACCAACATTCCTGTCCTGGGAGACCAGATGACCAGCCCACAGTCTGCCCATGCTCAGAGCCTCTGTATGCTACCAGCCTCTAGCGGAGAACAGCTGCTGTGACTCATCAAGGATTGAAATACTGGGACACAAAGAGTGCTTAAAAGGAGAAATGTAGGCTGGGGAGACGGTTCACTGGGGAAAGCACCTGCCAGCCGAGCATAATGCCCAAGTGTGAACCCTGAGCACCCAAGGAAAAGCTGGGCAGAGGTGACAGCTGGCCTTTAACCTCAGAGCTTGAGAGGCAGAGAGAGGAGATCCCAGAGGCAAGGTGGCAGGTCTAGCCAAATCAGTGAGTTCTGGGTCCAACTGAGAGACTCTGACTCACTACATAAAAGGCAGACACCAAGGGAGATACCCGATGTCATACTCCAGCCTGCCACGTCCCCGGCGCGCGCGCGCACACGCGCACACACACACACACACACACACACACACACACACACACACACACATCGCATGTGTGTGCAAGTGCACACCATAGACACAAATAAATTTTTAAAGTAGAAATACTCACAAAGCCATTTCAAACTGTTCCAGCCATTTTTTCTTTAAATCTTTTGTTTTGCAATAAAATTCTAACCCATTTTGTCCTTGGGTATGGATGAGGTAGAAGCCATAAGACCACTGTGAAAATGAATAGTCTTCAAGTTAATAATTATCATTTGTTTAAAAAAATTTCCAAATTTATTGGAGTGCCTAACCCTCCACACAAAACCTTACAGCTCTATCAGCATTAATACCGATGATTGTAACCAACTTCATATTGATGAGAAAATCATTGTTACCATATTGATCCTAGGAATTAAAAATGATCAGATCAACTATGTCACGATCCCATCATACCTCACAGGAGCCTGTACCAAATTAATTTCTGAAAACTAAATTCCTGAACCAGTAAACAGCAGTAAGGTACATCTGACTCCAGATTTGCAGGTTCTGTATTCAAATACTCAACAACTGCAGATGAAAACAGCATTAACCACATCTGTACTCAACATGTGCAGACTGTTCCCCTTGTCATTTTTGCTAAACAATGTGGTACAACAGCTGCTTACAGGAATTTAAGTGTTGTCTTAGGTATTAGAAAGAACCTAGAGATGTTTGAAATTATAGAGAAAGACATGCATACGCTATATGCAGACACTAAGCCATTTTGTATAAAGGCCTGAGTGTCTGCAGATTTAGGCATCTGCCATGGAAGGGGTGGCCTGGACACCAAGGGATAGCTGCATTTGAATATTCAAAGCTCTACATAAATTACTAATAGTAACATCCCGGAAGGTCACCTTTTTATTTTCTTTGTCAGTGGTAGGATTGTTGGCTATCTTGTAATGCTGCAGATCTATTATTTCCTTCATCTCATAGTTATCCCCTTTCCTTTTACACACAATCACTGCCAAGTCGAATAAGAAGATATGCCTGTAAAAGAGAGACAGCGCGGTTGAGTGACAGACATGGTTTAGGAGCTCATGTATTTCTCTTCCTGGATGTGATTACACCAACCAAGCATTCATCTTTTGGGCCACATGGGAAGCAATGAGGAACTCAGGCTCACAGAAGCATCACAGGCCTCCACAACATTGATGGAGAAATGGTGCCATTCCACCCCAATTCCCCTCAGCTTAACAAAAAGAAAGGGAAGCACCATAAGAAGAGAAGTACATAGACTGCAGTTATTGAAAGTACACATTGAGGTAAGCCATAAAGCTACTCATGAATAACTGATCTCTTATTTAAAAGCCAAAAACTCAGAAAAAGTACTCATGATCAGGGCAGTAGCTCTCCCACTACCTTCAAAGCAATCGGTCAAGAGCCTTGAGAATTCTTCACCCCTTCCACAGACAAGGCAGAAAATAAATTCCCAGGGTCCCCACTCAGGTGGGAACTACTGTCTTTCTAGGTGAGCAAACCCAAGCTGGGGGATGTGTGCGAGTTGCCAAAGGTCATATTGATGATGTGGTGCAGAGTAAGATCACACCCAGGCTAACTTCAGAGCCTTACGTTGGGTGTCACAATTTAATGGGTCACCTTAAGCACAGCTGGGGTGTAAGAGAAAACTGCAAAAACAGGAAAGCGATGGTTAAGTTTCTGTGTTAATATTTCTTTCTTTTTCTTTTTTTTTTTTCTCTTCCTTATTAAAAGCAATGTTAATTGGGGAAGGAAATGAACCCTCTAACCTTATCATCCAGCCGCAATAGATGTGTGCTTTTTAAAACTCTCGGTGATTAACACACATATTCTTAACCAACGATTGTGACAATGACATATTCACAGTGCTCAAACACTTTCCTCATCCTCAAAATCAGAAGTGTGGCTCCTGAGAGCTACCTGTGGAATCCGGGCGTTAAGGCGGAAGCAAGAGCTGATGCTGCCCCCTGCTGGCAGACTTTCTCTTCTGCAAGAGTCCAGGAAATCACCACAAAAGCACCAGTTTGACAATCATGTTTCCTAGTGGCGAATATTCAAGGACTCTGTCCAAAAGCTTCCCTAAATAAAAATATAACTAGAGAGTCTCCATTTGACCTTTCTTCTCAGGATGCTTTGCATTAATTTTAGTTCATTTTTAAATGAATCTACTTTTTTAAAGGTAATCATGGTTTTGTGGCAATTGTCTGGTGGCATTTCACAATTGGGAGTCATATTTTCACCTGTCTTATTTTCAAGGGTTTTCATTTAGCCCCTAAAGACTTAGGCAAATCAACACAGTACAGACTAGAAAGCGAGGTAATCCATAAAGCCTACATTAGAGAACGTAAGGGACCACCAACTGGCCTGTCCCCTTGCCTGACCACCCCCACCCCGTCCGAGAACAACGGACACGAGGTGCCATCGTTCCTGTGACAGCAACTACTAATTGTGAAAGCACCCAGTGCTCCGATCTTCTCACCTTTCTTGCTTCGTATGCTTGTCCAGTGTGGTTATTCGGATTTCACCATCTCCCTGAGGTCGCCCAAAGAGCAAAACTGGCTGGTTCTAAAACATAAACGCATTTGTAGATAAATATAACATGTGTGTCTGACCTTTTCACAATCACATACAAACAGAAGTAAACATTAGTAAAGACGTTTTCCTGGACAACTACCCTATTACAATTGATATCATTTTTATTTATTTTAGCACATTTACTCTGAACACACAAGACTTTGATATCAGATATGCTACAAAAATCCATCTGTCTTTGTAATTACAGCGGGCACATTGTCGACACACTTTTACATATAATCTTAAAAGGGAAGTTACCAGAGCTGGATCGAACCTCCCTGAGGACTACATGTCACGGTACCAGAAGGTACCTTTCAAGCTTCCAAAGCTAGGAAGCAACCAACAGTCCCACCCAGCTATGATGCTTATGAAACACATCAATGACCAGCATGGCATAATAATCGTAGAAGTTCACATAACTTGACAGTAACCAAGAGCTCTCTAATTGTACTTATGGCCCATCAATAAGAGAAAAAAATCATGCCCGGGACTGGAAACCTATCCGGTTAGCTAGGGCTAGCGAAGTCATGGATCTTGGAGGAGAACCCACAACCATCCCTTTACCAAACTAGCACAATCCCTAACTACAGTCTAAGTAGTGATTCTTTTTTTTTTTAAAGAATTTTTAATTTCTTTTTTTTTTTTAAAGATTTATTTATTATGTATACAGTATTCTGCCTGCATATATCCCTGCAGGCCAGAAGAGGGCACCAGATTGCATTACAGATGGTTGTGAGCCACCATGTGGTTGCTGGGAATTGAACTCAGGACCTCTGGAAGAGCAGCCAGTGCTCTTAACCCCTGAGCCATCTCTCCAGCCCCCTAAGTAGTGATTCTTATACCCACAGATAAGTGTAGTTTCCTCACCAAGAAAACTTTCTTTGCAGCAGACAGAAACCATTACAAAAAAGCACACCCAATTAAAATGCAAAGTTGTGGAGCCCAGTCCTAACTCAAATATCTACCACACAACTCTTGAACTTTAGGCTCAGGGACCATTGCAGAAAAGGAGGCAGAAAAACGGTAAAAGTCCGAGGAACAGCAAGTTTTCTGTGAGACCCTGTTTCCTAAAATACCAGAGAAGCTATACCCATGAAGTTTCCCCAGCAGGACTTCCTAAACATGAGTTGAACAAAGACAGATAGACCTGCAAATGCAGAAGAGGAAAGATCACAAGGACTCAACCCTAGACAAAAAAAAAAAAAAACTACAGACAAGTAAGAAATGCTGAGAATGAAAGAATAGCCTTCTCTGCGTTGAGGGCACATCAATTGGTTATCCAGTGCCAAACGGTCAGCTCCGGAAATATATGCATATAAGTAACATTATACAAACTGAGCAGGTTGTATCTGTACAACAATTAGCAAAAAAGAGGCCATGAATTTGAAAAAGAACAAGATGGGGGGGGTAACTTGGAAGTGTTTGGAGGGAGTAAAGGGAAGAAAAAAACGATAGATGTAATTACATTATAATCTAAAAAAATAAAAATATTATTTAAAAGGAGAAGTTCAATTCCAGAAAAGAAATAACTGGAATAATTTTAACTGGAGGAAGATTCTAGTAACTAATATTTGTCACACATTCAGGGTGGCATGACACAGCCTCTATCTTCATAGAACATACCACCCACAGGGAAGCAATACTTACAGAAGCATGTAATTGCAAATACATAATTATCCCAAAAGCAGAGGATAGGAAGGGGATATAATTTCACCCAGGGATTCAGGGATGGCTTCCTTCAGCTAAGAGCTCCAGGATGAAAAATTCTGATGTAACAATTAAATGAGATATTTCCACAAAGGCAAAGACATAAAATATTTTTAAATTACTAATAAACACTTACAGTACTTGTTAAGAGAAAAAAGAATTAACTAAATATTATAAATGACACCTAGAAAGTTCATTCTAATAAAAGATATAAATGTGATTTCAAGAAAATGATAAAATAATAAATGTTTGCTGTCAAAACCCCATTGTTACACTCTAGAATAAACAGAATAAAAACTTCATCTTAAAATTCATATAGGGAGCCAGGTGGTGGTGGCTCACCCCTTTAATGCCAATACTTGGGAGGTAGAGGCAGAGAGGTCTCTGTGAGTTTGAGGCCAGCCTGGTCTACAGAGTGAATTCCAGGGCAGCCAGAGCTGTTACACAGAGAAAATCTGTCAAAGAAAACAAAAACAAGACATAAAAAATCATATTGGAACCTCAGGGGACCCTTAGATAACTAGATGAACCCTGAAAAACAATGAAGTTGGATACTTCATACTCCCTGACTTCAAAACTTATTATAAAGCTAGAATAGCTAAAATAGTACACCATTGGCATAAAGACCAGCAGATCAACAGACCAGCGGAATAGTAGTGACCCCAGAAATAAGACTCATATATTAGCCACAATTGTTTTCAAAAAGTTCCAAGAACCTTCAATGGGAGAAAACAAAGTTCTTGAACAAATGATGCTAGGACAACTGTAAGTCTACAAGAAAAAAGAATGAAGTTGGACCTTAGCTTTATACTGTATCTCAAAATGACTCCCTGGAGCAAAGATCTACACATAAGAGCTGACACTATGAAGGCTTTACAAGAAAATAGAGAAAAGTCTTCACAGAATTAAATTTAGAAATGATTTCTTAAATGTGACACTAGATGAATGTATAGGCAAGAAAGGAAAGGTGGGTAAATGAGAACTCATGGCATCACCAACGCTATCTATAGAAGAGGGTCTTAAGTACCTTGGAACAAGGGACTGATGGGTATACACATGTATAAATAACTCCTACAAACACACATGCACATGTCTGCAGGCACATACACACACACCACATCACATAACAGGACTCAAAATTAGCCAAGGTATTCAAACGGACATTTCTCCAGACATGTCCAATGAAAACCCAAAACAGTGTTCAATACTTTTAATCATTGGAAAATGCAATCAAAACCAGAATCAGACATGATTTCACATCCATTTGGATATATATTTTGCATGTGTGCTTAGAAAATAAAACATTTAAAAAGAGGCCTGAAAATGAGTGTTGGTCAAGTTTATGGAGAAACTGGAATCCATTTAGATTGCTAGTAAGAATGCAAACTAGGGCAGCTGCTCTCCAGAATGGAGTGGATATTACTCGAAATTTAACCACAGAATGACCATAGAGTTCAGAAATTCTACTATATAACCTAAAGAAGTGAAAGTGGGCACCCAAACTGACATTGGCATACCCACACGCCGCAGCATTATTTATAACACTTCAAAGAGGGAGCAACCAAATGTCCTCTGAATAAAAAGATATAATATGGGATCTGCACATACAATAATACATCAGATAGCCCTACCTAGACAAAACTCACACTCCGCAACATGAATGAATGCTTATGGCATGAGGCTGAATAAAATAAACTGGCCACAAGGGCACCAATACCATATAGATAGATAGATAGATAGATAGATAGATAGATAGATAGATAGATAGATAGATGATAGATGATTGCTAGATAGATGATAGATAATAGATGATAGATAATAGATAGATGATAGATAGATAGATGATAGATAGATAGATGATAGATAGATAGATAGATAGATAGATAGATAGATAGATAGATAGATAGATAGATATCAGTGGCAACAAAGGGGCTGAACTCATAGACAGAAAGAATGGTGCCAGGGACTGCTGAGAGAACAGAGTCGGGAGTCTGTGCTCAGTGAACATGGTTTCACAGAATTAAGAGTTCTGGAGTTGGATGGAAACAATGGGTATTCAAGATTATAAATATACTTAATGTCATATGTACACATAAATGTTTATGGTGGTCATTTTAATGTTACTCATATTATCATACTGCCAATGCTATATACCTGTCAGGTAATACACTATGGAATTCTAAAAGGGAAAAGATAATGGGAGGTTAGGAAATGGGATTGCCTTTAGATTGGACCTTGAAGGAATGTGAGAGACCATAATGGGGAAGAATACTCTAGGCTCTGAATAGAATATGTTCACAGGAGGAACCACGAAAAGCTATAGAAAACTGGAGACTTAAAATAAACACAGAGTAAGTCCCATGATGTAAAATATGTGGGCAGTTATTCACCGAATGAATTCAGAAAATCATTTAAGTTCATCATTGCGTACTTTTAAATGGGTGAATGTTGATAACCACAGGAAAGTCTTGGCAAACTTAGGAAAGAAGGTTAATTAGAAAACAGTTGTTTAAAACAAAACATATAAAGAGATTTTTGGTTACAGGGACTGTCAAGGAAGCAGGCGATGGCACCAATGAAACAGAGAGGTGGCTGTACATGGGAAAAGAAAGGAATGCGCAAGGGGATTCGGAACACAGCAGTGAAATCACTTGGCCAAAAATACCTCAAAGCCATTCTTCTATGCACTTCCTACAGGTGAAGCCAGCCCTCCATTCTCTCTTGAAACCATGTCAATAGCAACTCAGCTGCCTCCCTAATGGGACTCCTTGAAATACAAACACGACTGGGACACTCCACTCTAGGGCAGATAGAAACTGTCCTAGATTTCCACTGCAGTCGCAATGAAGCCCTAACCTATCCTTGGATCCAAGGTTATGCAATGCTATTCCCCATCCCGTGTGACTGCAGAGAACTCATCACCTTCTGTTCTCATCACTTCTAGCCACCCTTGCCTCTCAGCTCCCTGAACACACAAAGTGCTTCTTACCCATCTCTGGACTTGCCACTTTCAAGGCATTGCCTGGATCATTGACCCAATATGTCTTCTTATGGTTTCTCACTCTTTGGACCCAGTTCAAATGAAGTGATTTGAAAGGACTTTCTCTAGCCATAACACCTAAACTTGGACTCTCTTTATTGTCCTCTAGGGCTCCTTGGAGAAGAGGCCATGAGAGACTGAGGGACAGAGGCAAGCACCAGAGGTACCCAGACAATGGTGAAGTCACAGGTGACATCACACCAGTGTGAAGACCAGATGCTATTCCCCATCCCGTGTGAAAGGAGGGGAAAAACCAAAGTCTGACAGCCAAAAGTTGAAGGTAAACCATCTTTTCCTCAACAGCCACACTCAGAGCGTCCCAAGATTTGGGGACAAGGGGAAGTTGGATGGGAGGATAATTACATACCAAATTTTCTATAGATAGCTGAAACTGCTTAATTTCACGAAGGGTCTCATTATCTCTTTTCACTTCATTCACATATTGTGCCAAGTCCTAAAGAATAGGAAGAAGGGTGCAGAAAGAACACACAGGAAGATTAGCGATACAAGCTGCTTTGAAAGAAAAACACATCATTAATTCCATCAGTGATGAAAGTCACCACCGTAACTTCTCAGTGACAATGAAATGAACACTCAGTCAATCAAAGCTGCGTCTCAAAGCCAATTTTAAAATGTGGGGCATGCAGCTGGGAAGTCTGAAGAGTTGCCGTTTACCACACCCCTGAGGAGAGTAAGGATACTGCTGCTGCCTTAAAAGACAAAAAAAAAAATCTGCAGCAATACAAAGCCACAAGGAAAGTAGGTCAGGAGATTTTAAATTCTGGGAGCATTAATGGCCGACCTTGACAGGGGTGCATCTCTCCCGGGTTAGATGAAGGGCAGAGCTGAAGGATTAGCAGCTAGGAAAAAGTAACCAAGTTACATGGTGCCCTAGCAAGACGGTCATTTGAAACCAGTTAATGTCTTGTTAGCTCCAGAGAAGGCTCAGTCAAGAAGGCTAGTTCAATTTCAGAGTTAATAAACGAGAAACACGGGAGAGGTGAAGAACAGAGCTGAACAAAAACAGGAAAAAGAGAATAAAAACCTCTAGCCATTCTTCTCCACCTGCCTTCACTTAACTTAAAATGGCTTTTTTTTTTAAAAAAAAAATTTGCAAAAGCATTAGCTAATCCTCGCATATTGTAACTGGCTATTTTTATTTTGTGTGATCTACATTTTCCTGTTTTCTAAGTTTTTTCTTTCTTTTTTTTCTTTACCCTGTTTTAAGCATCCAACAGGAACACAACTCTGCAAACAGCAACTCTTAACTATGTTCTCAGGGAAGCTTGGCTTTTGGTAGGAGTCATCCATAAATGACTTCTTTAAGGACACAACATTTGTTGATTTTCTAGCCACAATTAATGACCGAGCAATGGTCATGACACCCAGGCTAACATCATCTAAACAGCAGAGCCAGTGTGAAGAGTAGTCCAGAGCACTGTTAAATACTTAGACAATGCACTGTCATCGCCTTCCAAACAACAAGTACGTGACTCTGTTTCAGTTGCAGCTCAGAGTCAAGTTCACTGAGCATAATGTGAAATCTGGGCTTTCAGACATCCCCCCAACAAGTTCACAACACCTGCTTTTATCCCTCTGTGTGCTTCCTTGACTTTCAGGTTTAACTGGGAACAAAATCCCTAAGTGAAATCCTTGTACAGCATCCACCATGGACAACCTGGCAGAGGATCAGTCTGAGGAAGGAGAACCACACTGTTGTTCCTACGGCCCTCTGCTTATTCAAGCATTTTTTAGTCTAGTACTTAAATCCATATAAGAATTCTATCTCAGAGGCTGAGGCAGGAAGAGTGCCACACATTGAGGCCAGTCTGGGTTACATAGCAAGTACCAGGAAGTTCTAGCCTTAGAAAACAAAAACAAACAAACAAACAAAAAACACCAGTAACGACATAACAACTATGTCTTTCAGTAAGCGACTTTGCTCTCCTCACCAATACCAAGCACGCATGTTGGCAGGCACACATATGCACACTAGCAGTTCAAGTCCCATTGACTTTGCTCTCCTCACCAATACCAAGCATGCATGCTGGCAGGCACACATATGCACGCTAGCAGTTCAAGTCCCATTGTCTCGAGGCAGGAACAGAAGACACACACAAGCTGCAGCTCTCTACCTTCATTGCATCCAGGGCCAACTTCAGGTTCGCCTTCTCCATAGGATCGTGGGTATGTTTGACCAGTTCCTGTTTGGAAGAGGCAGGTTAGCAATGCTTTCCTTAAATTGAAAACTAACACTGAAGAAACAAACAAAACATTTTTAAAACACCAATAAAAAAATTTTAAAAAGACACCAATATCTGCCTCTCCACACCGTGATAATTTTCATGGTGACTTGACTCTTTCAGCCATACTCTACCCTCACCATGACGCCCATCTGTTTCCCGGATGTTATGCAGGACGGCCTAACCTCTGAGGAATGGATACTTCTCTATCCCATCCCACACACTGCTTCTCTAAGACTGCTGATTCTAATGCCACGTCTCCACTTTGGGGATAAGAGGATGCTTTGTGTGCTCTGCTGTTACTGTCTTGTTTAAATGGCCCACATCTCTACATACTCTTCTGTCTCACAGTTTCCTTTCTCTTTAGAAAGTTGCTGTCACCTAAATATTAACTCTTCTATTCTCATTTTACACATCCTCCAAATTTGTTACAGCCACTGTCATATCAACTGCCACCCGAGGAGGCCACCACCCTGCAGTATACCTGCTCAACCCAGAAATCACACCCGATACCAGACTCACACGTCCAACTAAATAATAGTCCCACAGAGTCCTAAGTCCAATAAATCCCCAACTTGTTCCACCCTTATCCAGGATGAGAGGGCCACTGATGGTGCTTGATTAAGTAGTGGCATTTCCATTGGTGTGATAACCGAAGCCAAAACCTGAAATGGTGTCCCAGGCTCTGCCATCCTCTCTCCTCCCCGATGTCTCATTGATGCTAACTTTGATCCTGCCCTAGAGGGCACTTTCCTGGCGGTCATTTTTTCAACAGGTTATTCTGAAGTGCTTCGAACTAGACTTTGGACCTAGGTTCTCTCCTTCCAATAATCTGTTCATGCCTCTGACACCAAGCAGGTCTCTAAACTCTAAGTTCTACCTTGTCCCCACCCTAGTTAGACTGCAGTGAGTCCCCAAAGGCTTCCATTATTACCCAATACCTCCTAGCTGTCACACGCTGGCTCTGGATTCTGCAAACTTCTCTTCATCCCTTTCTCTCAACTTCCACCCAGACAACCTACTTTCTGCCCACACTCAGTAATCTACAGTTCTCAAAGGGTATTCTTATTAATGCACAGGACATGGTGTTTTCTCTTCTTAGAAAAGCTCCTCCCCTCATCCACCTGCCAAACTCATACTAGTCCTTCCAAGTCCAATTCACAAACCATCCCTCTAGGAAGATAGAAGATGAAGCCTCTCCTGGGGTCCCCAGCAAACTGAGGTGTAGTTGACTCCTTTGTGTCCCTTCTGTGCACCCATCACATTGCTACACTTCAGAGGTTGACCTACTGGGGTGGGTCCTGTTACACGATACATTCCTAACACTGTTTGGCACACACAAAAAAAAGCTACTCAAAATTCTCTAAAGGCCTCAGTGCTGGTACTGTTTCCTGTTACCAACAGGACCTACAGAAAGAGAGAACTACCAAGTATAAAAACCCGCCAAAATCCCGTTTTTATTCTCACTTTGTTAAATAAAATAGAAAATTACTCTTAATGGTTCCAAAACTCCTCCTATAAAATATTTTAAATTTTATAAATCATGATCATCAAATCAGCCAACAGCTGAAAATGATTTCCTTATGAAATCATGAAAGTGCAATAGAAAGGAGAAAAACCACAAACCAATAACCACATTTTTAACAAATTTCTAGACACCAGACATTTACTCCAAAATACTTCGAAATGAAAAAAAAATCTCTAAACTTTTTATCTCCATGTAGTACCCAGAATAAAGCTTCCTATTTTTAAACACCATCATGGAATCTCTTGAAATCTAAACTACAAAACAGCAGGAGAAAAAAAAACAGTGGGTTAAGTCTGGAGTTTCAAAGTCATATCATTGTATTATTCCTTGGTTTATGAGTCTGGACAAAAATCTTAAGAGGATGCAGAGTCTTTCTCTTGATCCAAAATCTTCTGAATTCTTCAATCACTGCTTCACTCCATCAAAGCAACAAAATAAATAATTATCTTATTTTGGACATGTTTTTACCTCCATGATATCTTGAAAGCTGATTGCCTGAGTCGTCCTTATTATTTTTTCATAAAACTCAATTTGATTAAGTTGCTTTGAGTTTAGGTCTCATAAATGTTTTAATGCATTTTTTAAGAAATAATCAGGGCTTGAATTTTTCTGATTTCTCAGTAGAACCAAAATAGAAATGACTAATAATTGCATGGCTACAATTCAAGAAATGTAATATACAAGATGTACAAAGCACAGAAGACTCAAAATTCTATTTCACGTACAGGTAGTAGATTTTTTTTTTTTACAATGACATTCCAGGAGCATCAGCTGGGCTGGCACACTAATACAATAAGACATTTCTTTCGAGCAGAACTAATGGGCCTCCTGGTATAGCTATCAAATTAAATTTATAAGACTCTCCACCCTCATTAGAAGACTAACCGTGGAAACCATAAACTTTGTGGGCTTTAGTAAGAATCACCTCACAATAAGTGTAGCCTTATTACATTTAGTGCCGTGAAAAAGCAATACAGCCCACAACACAATCCTCTATTAATTATTGTGATAAGATGGAGAATCTGATGAGGTTAATCTGACCAAATTCAGGTACATTGACTCACTGGCCAATGGTTATTGCTAATTCCGAAAGATGCCATTGAAAGCATATCTGTATTTGCTCCACTCCCTTTTTTTTTTCCTTTCTCTATCCTGTCTGAAGAACACAAAATGTGTCTTTTTAGTAAATACAGATCGTTTTTTTGCTAAAAGGAAAATAAAATGCTTAGTTGTCCTGGTCATTTCACACTGAACACTGATAATTCAGAGAACGTGCGGCATGCTGCTGATGCACCACGGTGTCCTGTGGGATGAACAAATGCATGGTAGAGTGTTGTTAAAGTACAGACCTGAAGGAGGAGGTGGTACTTCAGCACACGCTGCATGGGAACCACCAGCAAATCTCGAAGAGTAAATTTCCCGTTATTTGCTCTTTTTGAACATTCCTAATGCAATGGATTTCAAATGTGTTAGTTTTCTCCAAGGACGTCATAAAACGCTACAAGATGAAAAGTCTACAAGCAGAATCCTTTTAAAATACTTTTGCTCTTTTCCTCCACAATACTTCAGTTCAAACAATAAAGTATCTTCAGTTTTTTAAAGAAAGTCTTAGAGTATTTCAAATCGTAATATGAATCAAATGAACTATTTCATCAGTGAAGATTATTTTTATAGCACATAATCCTAGCCCTCCAGAGTTTTCCTTTAGAGTGGACTCCCACATTCCCTGTAGGCTTATGAAGCAGATAGCACCAAGCCCCCACTCATTAAATGTGGTGGGTTCATCCACCTTCATGCTTGGTGTCATGAATTCTATCCAATTACACTTTCCAGTCTCCCCACCCCCCACCCGCCAAAAAAAACAAAAACAAAAAAAAATCCCTTTTCAAAAGCATTCTGCTAGGCTTTAAGATGAATCTCAATCAAAACCATTTATTTTATCTCTTCCTCCCTCCCTCCATCCCTCCCTCTTTGGTCTGTGTACATGTACACCTTGTGGCCATTTAATTATCACTGTAAAGAGTATCTGCCCCAATATAACCTTTTGGACTAAAGACATGTCCCTTAAGCCTCTAAAATTATTTTTAAAAAAACTCTGTTTGCTTAATAAATATTTATTGAACTAAATGAAATGGAAAATGTGGCTGAATATGTTAAAATAGAAACCTGCTACCACAGTTAATATTTTTAAAGCCTCAGATTTTACTTATTTAATCCTCTTTTAAAAATACTTTAAACTGGGCATGGTGGTGCATGCCTATAATTGTAGCACTCAGGGCCTGAGATGGGAGGATTGATATAAATCTGAGGCTACACAGTAAACTTTGTCACAAAAAAAAAAAACAAAAAGTTTACTTTAAAATAATATTGACTTCTTCACTCTTGATTGTAGCTGTGACCTTGGAATAAATAATTTGGATTTTAAGTATTAATATATGAAACCCTGGCTATGTGACTTGGGCAAATACTATCCTCCCTTGACCCTTTCTCATATATATCCATCATAATGTATAATACGTACTAACGTGTGTGTGTGTGTGTGTGTGTGTGTGTGTGTGTGTGTGTGTGTGTGTGTAAAATGATGGCTATTCTTTGTTGTTAACTTGAGTATATCTGGAATTAACTAAAACCCAAGCAGCTAGGTATACCTGTGAGGGATTTTATTTTTATTAAATAATTTGAAGTGGGAAGCTCCATCTTTAATCCAGATCTTTTGAGGTAGGAATATCCACTTTTTATCTAGACCACACCTTCTGGCAGAAGCCTATATAAAGGACATGGAAGAAGGAAGCTTTTGCTCTTTGCCGGCTTGCCCTCTCTTACTGACTAGTTGATTTCTTCACTGGCATTAGAACCTACTTCTTTGGGATTTGAGCACATACTGAAGAACAGATGAGACATCCAGCCTCGTGGATTGAACAACTACTGGATTCTTGGACTTCCCATTAGTAGCCATTGATGGAATAGCTGGACCACCATCTGTAATCCATTCTAAGAAATCCTTTTTCTAGATAGGGTCTAGAGAACCTGACTAATAAAAAATTTGGTACCAGGAGTATGGTATAGATTCGTTCTATCAATTCTGTTTCTCTAGAGAACCTTGACTAAAACATATATACATTGTTATTCCAAAAGATGTCAAAATGTCAAAGAATTGCTAGAGAGTTCAACATTCTCATGCAATTGCAAGTGCCCAACCAAGGACTTCTTCAGTGTATGGAGTTACTTAAGATAACACGTGGGTCATGAATTTATTCCTTTACTCGGTCTTAGTTTTTCTAGCACATTCAAAGGCATTCCTGGGAGCTATGGCATTAACATCAGTGATTCTAATAACCATGATGACTTCATGAGTGTTGTTTGATTACAGATCTAGGGTAAAATGAACTAGAAAAACATGCTGATTGGTTATCTGTGTCTTAACTACCACAGTTCATTAGGAAAATAAATGTTTCAACAGATTCCCTTGATGAACATGGATGAACATGTGTGTGACAGCTTGTACACACACATGTGGAGACCAGTAGACAACCTCAGGCGTTATTTCTCTGGAGCCATTCACACTGCTTCTTGGGTCTCTCACTGGCCTGTCACTCAGCAGACAGGCTCTACCAGCTGGCCAGCAAGTCTCAAGATGGGGTCTTCCCATTTCCACCTCCCAGAGGTGAGAGCATAATCATGCACCATCACATCCAGCTTTTTTATGTGGGTTCTGGAGGTTGAACTCAGGTCCTCACACTTACACGGACAGCTCTTTACTGACTGTACTATCTCCCCAGCCCATGAGTTCAACTGATTTCTTGCATTCCATAGATTATTGAACATTCCAGATCATGAGTCTCAACTAGGAGGTCAAATCATTACTATAATGACTGGGTCTTCTCTCTCCATTGCATTTTAAGCTCTTTGGGATGGAAGAGTTATTTTTTTTAACTCTAGGCCATCCCAACTTAGTGCAAGGAATAGAAATTTGTACATATAAAAGCACAGAAATTTATTTAAAATTATTGGGAGGGATATCAGTTTGTTTAAGCTTCACGTTCGGTGGGAGGAACATTATTGGCATCAGCTACACTACAGATGGAGACTGGGATGTAAGTTCTCATCATTGAAAGTAATTAAGGGACACGAACAATTCTTCTAAAGAAACCCATCACCACTTGTCCTAAACTAAATCTTAATCAAAAGGACTATCATTGAGTTTAAGCTTAGACTCAGAAGAAAAGGTAGACTCTCTTACCCCATACCCTGTTATCTTGACTCCAATGCAGAAAAGACACACATACTCACACATAATAAAAAATAATAACAACCAGAAAAAAAATAACCATCAAGGAAAGAGCAAGACAGCTTTCATAATGCCCCATGGGGTGCCCGTGTTACACTTTCTCATTAGATTCTCCCATGTCAGGCCCTGTTCAGAAGAAGACATCTGAGCTGAGTGAGAGGCTGCATGCTGAATTGCAGTTTCTCGCTGGCAGCCTTTTCAACTCAGCCTGAGGCCTCTCCTCTCCTGAGACTGGAAGAAACTGTACAGGATGTACAGTCCTGGTGTGCTTGTCCTGTGCAGAGCTTTGACATTGATTCTGATAGAAGAGCAGTCCCTCAACAAGGCTGAGAACCATAGAGGCCTGATAGATGATGTGCTGACTCCCATCCAGAACCACAGTTTTCTATCTCCCTTTTAAAAAAAAGTGCTTTAACTATTGTTCCACTCCGGACTAATAACATGAGCTGTAAAGTTTTATTTTATTACCATATCTAATTTGAGTCAAGGTAACTAAGACCTCTAGACTTACGAGTCTCCATTCTCTAAGAGGAGCATTAACCCTTGGTGCTAATGATACTTTAAGGATGTCATTTAGTGGTGACTAAACTGTCTCGAGATAGAAGGTCACCGTCGTCAAGGGACACTATTAAAGACTCTGTGCCCTGCTATATTGGGCACACCTCCTAAGCAGTAATGTTCATCGGTGGAAGATGGAAGCAGTGAAATCACGCCTGCTGTGCTAAAATCAAGAAGGGACTAGGATTTGAAAGGCTTTCCCTCTTTTCCATCACCTGACTTCATGGATGAACTAAACAAAGGAAAAGAGAAAGGAGATATTGAAGAGGCAACAACATAAAAGTATCCCTAAAGATGCTAATTCACAAAACAATCATTTTTAGAAGTTCTTTAAATGTATAAACTCTTATACAATGTAATTAATACACATAAATTATGACTTTTGGGAAGAGAAGAGATTGAGACAGGGTCTCAAGATACACACACACACACACACACACACACACACACACACACACACACATATATCTACAGACAGGTGTGTGTGTGTGCATGCACCTGTGTGTGTGCACCTGTGTGTATGTGTGTGTGTGTGTGTGTGTGTGTGTGTGTGTGTGTGTGTGTGTGTGTGTCTGTGTCTGTGTCTGTGTCTGTGTCTATGTCTGTGTGTCTGTGTGGCCCAGGCTGACCTCAAACTTGCAATCCTCCTGCCTCAGCCCCTTAAATGCTGGGACTGTAGATGTTCATCACCATTCTCACCTCCAAAACCATGACTCAGCATAAGCCTCCAGTCTTATCCATCTAGTCCATCAAAGGGATGGCTCCAACTTGCTCACAGGCTTTCTCATGGTCATGGTCACATAGCACTTTGACTTTTTATGTTTGTATCTGTCTGTCCACTCTTCTTTCTTTTGGGCAATACCTATGCATTTTATACATGCGAAAATGTCTTATGCTGTACAAAAACATTTGAAATACATACATACACACACACACACACAGAGAGAGAGAGAGAGAGAGAGAGAGAGAGAGAGAGAGAGAGAGAGAGAGAGAGAGAGAGAGAGAGAGCCATCCATCCTGTACTTCTCACTATCTTGGTAGCTCACTCATAATCTCCCTGCATTCAGCCTTTTCAAGCAAGGAATGAGAGAGTTACTAGGACACACATCACAGTAAAGAGGACCTAAGGAGATAATGTATATAAAACCCACAGCCACAAAGTTAGGCTCTGCTCCTGCTACGATTATCAACACAGCTTTTACTACCACAGCTATCCTTAGAAATATTTTATAAAACTAGAGTGAAGTTATAGTTCACACCCATGAGGAGATGTACTATTGCATTCATCAAGTAGAGGGATACACTGCTTAACTTCATCTTTAAGCAATAAAAAAATAATAAAAATAAACAGGCACCTCCAATTTCAATTTGACATCTTCCTTCGTCTTAGCGATGTAGTCTAAGTTAGAGATGGCCGACTCCACTCCACTGCAGTACTGTCCATAAATAACCAATCTGAAAGGGAAGAGGAGAAACCTGTGAGGCTGAAAGAAACAAGCAGAGGCAGAAAGAGAGAATGCTCAGTCTTTAAAGCTATCGTCAGGGCTACTACTACACACCTGTGCATGTCTGCTTGTATGTGTACCACACTATGGAGGTCCAAGGCCATAAGGATGCTGGGGTCCCAGGAACTGAAGTGACTGGCAGCTGGGATGTTGGGTGCTGGGAACTGAACCTAAGTCCTCTGCAAAAGCATTGAGTATTCTCCACCCTTGAGCATTCTCTCCAGGCCCAAGACTCTTTCTAACACACACTACATGCAGTGTGAGGGCCACTCATATTGACAGCAGCAAAGAGACAATTCTGGTTCCAAATTAGAATAAGATTGAGTCCATGTATGTTTTATGGAAGATAGATTTTACAATAGGGCTTAATGACTGTTAATGTTATTTGAATATATATATCAAAATTTTTTAAATTAAAAAATTCTTTAAGCTTTTATTGGAGATAAACTTTTTACTGTTTATTCATCCTCAAGACAGCTATATTTTCTACTACAATTTTATTACAATTACCAGGACTCCACTCATTAATAAACCTTTTACTCCTTACTGCATTTAATTAAGGAATATACATCATCTCAGAAGCGGGAAGAGAGGCCTGAACACCACGGGTGGAAAATAACTCACACTGCATGGGTCTGAGCCCGCTCACCAAGGACAGCTCTACAATACAGACACTTTGCAAAGAGCCTATTAGCTTTGCTGTTCTTATCTCTCCTCTGGCTAAAAGTACTAATAAACTGTTAATATTTATCTAAAAGTTGACACAAAGGAATTCATTAGCCACTTCTTAGTACTAGGAATTATGTTGCTTGATTTAAAATGAGACAGCCGTGTATCTTAGGCAAAAAATAAAAAATAAAAAAGATATTCCATGTTAGGGAAAAATATATTGATATCTCTGTCGCTGTCTGTCTGTCTGTCTCTATCTATCTCTGTCCCTGTCTCTGTCTCTGTCTCTCTCTCTCTCTCTGTGTACTTGTGTATATTTTTGTGTGTATCTGTGTATATGTGTTTGTGTGTAAATGTATGTATCTGTGTGTTTGTATGTATATGTATGTGTGTTTGTGTGTATGTATTTATATGTGTGCCACGTATATGGGCATTTGTGTGTATGTGTGTCTGTGTGTATGTCTATGTGTTTGTTACTAGATGTGTGTGTCTATATGTGGCTGTGTGTGTGTATGTATGTATGTATTTGTATGTGTGCATGTATATGTGCATTTGTGTGTCTTTGTGTGTATGCCTGTCTATCTGTGTGTTTGTGACTATATGTGTGTGTTTGTGTATGTCCATATGTGTCTGTGTGTGTATATGTGTACCTATGCGTGCATTTGTGTATGTGTCTCATATTGGTCTGGAGCTAAGCTGGCTGGCCAGTGAACTTCAAGCATCTGCCTGTGTCTGCTTCCCCCACCCCCATGCTCAGCGTTGGGAATATAAATTTTTACAAGGATTCTGAGGACTCATCACATTCTAATGGTAAACATTTTACCAAGCTGTCTCCCCAGACCAAGAAATTGCTGCCTTTACTATAAATCTAATGTTCTGAAATCATAAATTGTAAAATATTAGAGTACCAGCTCTTCCTCTCCCATCACCACAGAGAGGAAAGGGAGACTGTGAGCATCAGTGTGAGTCAGTGAAGACTACATCACTCAGGAGTGATGAGCCCTGAGCAAGGCCTGCAGCCTATTGCTCTGCCATGTAAAAGTCTAAGCACTGTACTAGGCATGCTTTTACAACTTTTATTTTATGTGTGTAAGTGTCTGCATGTATATATGTGCACCACATACATATTTGGTGCCTAGAAGCCAAAGAGGACATTAGATCCCCTTTAACTGGAGTTAAAGACCATTGTAGGCTGACATGTTAGTGCTGGAAACTGAACTTCACAAGAGCAGCCAGCACTCTGAACTGCTGAACATCTGTCCAGCCCATTAGCAGCAGCAGCAGCAGCATCTAAAGTTCAAACTGCTTCCCTAAGATGAAGTATATTTTCCATTTTTAATACTCATTCATTCTAATTCTGAATCAATGCCCACATGCGTTTAAATGTAAAAGTTACCTTTCCTTGTAGTTAATAAAAACTTGATACAAGTTCTGGTCATCTTTATTTACAATGGAATCATGAATCTCTTGCATTAAGCTCCGATGAACTTTCACAAGGTCCTTAGAAAAGAAAACATTGTGAAAGAAAAGAAGGAATCAGAAGCAAAAAGAACTATACCTTACTTCCAGAGCTACCACTGTGGCCAGACTTGTGGCTCAGAGAGGAGAGAGGTACAGGGGCTGGAGGGAAGGGAGAGGAGACGAGAGGAGGAAGCAGGAGAAGAGGGAGAAGACATGGGCATGGATAACAGCAATTCCAGATAGGACTAGAAATACCAGTGCCCAGTGAAAACAGAACCTATCCTACTTGCTATTATAGGGCAATTTCTCCTTTGCATAAAACATATACGTGGCTTTTCAATCCTATAATCACTGCAAATTTTTAAATAAAACTCATCAAGTACTTACTGTTTTATTAAGAGACTAAAGTAATGATTCATGTCCTTGGGACACAGAGTCGCAAATCGGTTTGGTCAATTAGTGGTGTCCTAGTGTTAAGCTAACAACAATCAGACTAAATTGCTTGAAACCAGATAACTAATGACACAAATATGAAGCAAATAAATTGTGCTAGACAGTCTGCTGGAGCAACTCAAAAGTCAGAATTTCATTTTCATTCTGATAAGCAAGTCATTTTCAGCAGTGAGGGACTGCATGTCACAGAGAGAGAATGAGGAATTTGAATCAAGGTACCAATTCCCCATTATCTCTTCCTATGTGCCTTGGAGCACAAAGAAACATAACAGCAAGCCCATTCTTTGTACACTGAACATTTAAGATGACTATGTCATCTCCAGTATGTTGCTGAACAAAAACCATAGGAGTATGGACTATCAAATAAGGTGAATGAGAATTACCATAGGAGTTCAGGGTTCCTACATCCTAAAATGTACAGGTTTGGGTTTTTAATGTTACATCTCCATTTGATATTGTGAACATTTTCTTATGGTTATAAGTAAATAATAAAGAAGAGCTGGGTGGTGGTGGTGGTGCACACCTTTAATCCCAACACTTGGGAGGCAGAGGCAGGTGTATCTCTTGATTTGAATTGCGAATTGAAAATATAAGTTGAGGTTGGCACAATCAGAAACAGTTGATCTAACTGTCAATGGAGGGAGGCAAACGACATCCCAGGGGCTACATCAGGGAATAGTCAGACAAACAGACAGCAACATCATGACTGATTAATTGGGAGTACGTTTCATAACAATGAGGCATAGATAATACATGAACCTTACTTATCCTTTTGTGTACAGCATGCATTCTTAATTGACCTTGGGTTAAAGACATGATGTCAGTTTTTCAAAAAGAAAAGGATATGAAAACTTGGGAAGCACAACTCATAGAAAACAGAAGACAGTGTGTGGATCTGGAATCCACCAATAAGTACAGACTTTCTAGAAATGCACATCTCTACCTGTCACATCTTTACTTACAGGGATATTGATGAATACCGAGTCAAATTCTGCTGTTGTCAGAAATCTTTTCAATGGTGCCATGAAATACTACCAAGAGAGAAGAGAAAAGTAACTTTAATTAAACATAACTTTGCCTAATCTACACAACGATTTTTTTTATTAACCAGCAAAACTGGTTAAAAGTCAATTATTTATTAGCATTATAAACACAAATAGTAGAAATTATTTTCTCTGTATTTAAAATTCTACACTGAACAGCTATAAGGACTTAATAGGGACTGGAGAGACGGTTAGTGTTTGCCACACAAGCATGAGTATCTGAGTTCAGGTCCCCAGAACCCATGAACAAGCTGGGCAGATGTGACAGCCACCTACAATCCCAGAATTTGGAAGGCAAAGTCAAGGATTCTTGGGGACTTCCTGCAGTCAGTGATCTTAGACTTCAGCAAGAGACCCTGCCCCAATAGAGGAAGACATCTGATGTCAACTTCAAGAATCCACTCACTTGTATACACATGTGCACACACATGTGAATACACAAGCACACATTCATGCATACCATATACATATATGCATGCAAACCAAGGCATAAATATGAGCTGAAACATTTAAATTGTAAAACAAGATGCTTCTAAAAGTTAGAAGCTGTTGACCAAGCAGGAAAACAACGGCAATAGTCTGGAGATATATTTGAGGATGTATGTAGAACATCCCTCCAAATCTCTAATACAGATTCCTGAGAGGAATAATCTGCTCGTGTAATTTGTACACCATTTCCATTCCTCACTTGAGACTTGGGCATCCATCCCGTACTTCTCTTTCATTGTATGCAATCTCAGTATCTGTATAGATGGCCCTTCTAGGAACTTGGCCTGTCAGCTCCTTTATTTCCAACAATTGTGAACTCAACTCACAAATCTCATGGTCACATCTCAAGACACTGTCATTGTCAACATCTGTGCATGCTTCACACATTAATTTCACGCAGCCATCTCTCTGAGTCCTATATCCAGCCCATGAAGCTCATTTTTCTCAGGGAATTCTCTAGCCCTATTGTGTCCAGTTTACTGCATTTCACATCCTTCATGGCCTTGCTCCCCTCTCTACCCAGTTACAGTCCAAGAACCACCACCAGAATGCCTGCCTCTCTCTCTCTCTCTCTCTCTCTCTCTCTCTCTCTCTCTCTCTCTCTCTCTCTCTCTCTCCCCTCCCTCCCTCCCTCCCTCCCTCCCTCCCTCTCTCTCTCTCCCACTCAATTTTTCAAGATACACAAAACCTTTGGCTCTATCTATCTCGCCATATATTTTATAGATCCATATACTATACTGATAGTTTAGTTTTAAATAAGACCACGAAGGTCAAGGGGCTCAGCAATGCACATGCTCACACTTCTCCTAACCAACAAACTGACTCCTTCACTCTCCTAAACAACTCTTCCACACTTTCTCTTTTCCTGTAGCTAAAAAAAAAAAAAAAAGCTCTCACCTGGTTCTCATTTTGCTAACCTCTAAATGTGTGACTCACTAGGGGTGGCCTCAAACCTATTCCCTAAGGACATGTCTTTCCCGAAGTGACCTTGCTTAGTACTACAGCCTAAAGGCCCTATTGGTATACAAATCAGATTTTCCTATCAAAGCCAGACTCACATATTGAACATCTGCCTCAATATATCCCAGTGGAAGTCTAAGGGAGAACAAGAGGTTCACATATCCAACAGAGTCATGATTCCCTGCCCTCCATCTTGTTAGCTGGCATCACCATTCATGCATTCACACAGCCCAAATTCTAGCAGCTATCTGTGACTCTTCCTTCTTCCACAATTCTTTGCCTACACCATCAAATTCTATAGGCTCTAGTTAGACAAATTATTTCCAAAGCCCGACTTCCCCTATCATCTCCCTCAGTGCTATGATTTCTTGTCACTCTGGTTATTTTAATACCCTTCTATTTTTATCCTCCTTCCCATTCTTACTTCACAAGAGCCAGAGTGCCATGTTAAAAGCTTAAACGCTTTTACATCAAGTCTGCTCAAAGACTCTAGTGTTTGTCCCTATATAACTGGGTAGCCCACCAGTTCTCTGGACTCCACCATATCTCAGTCTCCTCCACCCATTCCATCTACTACACTGGACCACTGCTGTTCCATGATGTGTAAGTTGAGTACTTTCCCATCAGATTTCCCTAGGGCACTCCACCATCAGAGAGCCTTTCCCCCAGAACTCTCTTCACTAGAACATGCGCATGGCTTGGGCCCACAACCTTCTCAGTAGATGAACTAAGAACCACATTCTTACACAGAGGTCTTCCGTCATCAGACTCAGTGTGGTATCTCTAACCCATGCCCATCCATCCTCTCTTCCTGGTTTTTCTTCAGGTAACCCCACCCACCTGGCACACTTATTTGCCTCCAGCCTAAAATTTCTCATGATGTAGAAACTACCAAAAGAACCCACCATCTTCCTGCCTCTGCCACTGTGTCCTCAGCTCCGGAAACAGTGCCATTTAGATGTCAAGATAGCAATAAATGGTTATAGAATGTATAAATCTGCTCTGATATCTTTACTTTTCTTTGGGAGGGTTTTATTGAGACATAATTCATGTTTCTCACAACACAGCTATTTAGTTTGCAATCGGATGGTTCTTAGAAGTTCAGAACTATGCAGCTATCACCATCAAACTTAAAACTGTTTATCACATAGAACACCCCACAGACATTAGTGGTCATGCACCATTTTTTCCTCTCAGCCAACCCACCCTCCCTACTCCACATACACACACACACACACACACACACACACACTACTCTTCCCTAAAGTTCCAGGCAATTGCTTTTTTTGTGTATAATCTGTCTGTACATTGGTCTAGTCTGGGTATAGATTTTTAAATCTTCCTCCTTTCTAATATAAGCATATATTCTTGAACTACCATTCCGATCCCTACCACCCAGGGTTGTACTGATGTCAAATTCTACTTGCCACTTGAATGACTGCAGTGTTTTTAGATTATACCTACAAGTGAGCACATGTGGTATTTGCTTTCCTGAGCCTGGCATCTGGTATAAATCTTAGAATATACATTCACATATGCACACTACAAAAGGAGTTGGTCTAGCACATAGACCATGCAAAGCAACCTCGGGGCTTAGATACCTGATGACTTACTTTTTCTATTGACTCCAGAGTTTCTGTATATTTTTCTTCTGTCTGCTTAATTTCTGCTAGGCAACAACTTCGTATATCATTTTCTTGTGATTTCTGCATATAGAAAGGTAAAGTTAAGGTTATTTAGTTGAATTCTCATATCAGCTTATCTAGGAAAAGATCAGAATCACTTTCCATCCTAAAAAAGACATACTTAGCTGCATTTGTGACATATTTTGTTGGAGCTATTTTTTCAACACTATAAGTGAAAAGGTTTTAAGTGACTAAAATAAGCTTCTGAAATAGATATTCTACTTAAATAAAGGCACCTCCTTTATTCAAATGTTAATGAATCTGGTAACACAGTCTAAGCGTTTCCTTCATAGATAGCAGATTACACATGTACTACAGAAACGACTATAAAATATTAAAAGTATTTTTTAAATACTTAAAAGGAATGTGAGAGCTGGGGATACAGATCATTAGTAGGGTAGGTGCCTAGCATATATCAGGCCAAGGTATCAGTCATTAGCAACACACACATACATACATACATACATATATACATACATACACACACACACACACACACACACACATAAGTAAAATCCTTCAAACATTGTTTTTACACATTATCATAATACATGGTTCTTTCATTTAGTGTTAAAATTCAGTATAATATCAAGGTCAGAGACTTACAGACAAAACAGAATTCAGTTCAGACACTGATTTTGTTATCTTTATAACTATAAACAAGTTACTGAGTTTCTCTGTGACTTGGTTTTCATTTCTGTAAAACAGAAGGACAGCACTAAACCCAAGGAGTGCCAAGTGACAGAAGCCATGTAAAGCACGTTTCACCTTGCCAGGGAGTCTAAATTATTATTGTTGTTAACTGTAGCCCATGGCAACCACCCAGAGCTGTGTAGTGGGGGAGGACTGTCCTGAGGGTGGAGGAGACCATGAAGATCAGAGTGCCTGGAAGCACTAGCTGCAGAATAGATGCACCTGAAACCCTCTGGAAAATGCTGCCAGGGGAGCCCACCTCTCATACATCAAGTTAAACACACAGTGATTATATTTCCAACCTACTTCTGTGCCTCTGCTCCCCAGTGTGGAACCCAACAACCTCCCTCGGCCCTTGATTAAAAGCCAGAGCACAGAGAGCAGAGTCAACTCATGAAACCCCTGAAGAAGCTAAGTCACCACCCAGCTGATGAAGACGTCTTTAGGATAAAAGAATATGCTAATAAATGTCTAAGTGGCTGACGTTCAAAAGTTTCAAATTATGGATAAGAAGACAGCTCAAAGCAGTTCTTTCTGGATATTCTAGATATATGCACGGGTGGGAGCTTTGAGAGGACACACTGATTATGCTAGTATCTGAAGACATTTTAAAAAAACAACAACTTATTGCCTTGCCCAGCCTTGATATGAGGGTTTGTGCCTAGTCTAATTGTAACTTGTTATGCGGCGTTCACTTGATATCCCTGGGTGGACTGCTCTTCTCTGAAGGGAAACAGAGGAAGAATGGATCTAGGGGAGAGGGAAAAGCTGGGGAAGGAGGTGGGAAGAGCAGAAGGAAACTGCAGTTGGGATGTAAGGTATTAGAGAAGAATGAAAAAAAAGAAAAGGAAACAATAGGGGAGAGTCACTTCTGACAAGAGCTAATGAGCAAAAGGGAACAGCTACTGACGTAACTTATGTTAAATTTAAAAGGAAAAGAATGTATCTGTTTTGGAAAAGATGTACTTTCACAGTTACAATCTCATGTTCGCTGAAATTGTATCTTATTGCCACTCTGCCACTGTTCAGCACTAGCCTCTAAGACTCAATTTCCTCACTAAGAAAAGAAAGGTAGACCAAAAAGTCCTACAGTCATTTTGAACTTAACAAACAAACAAACAAACAAACAAACAAACCCAGCAGCTTCCATTTCCAAATAAGTTCTAGTTACATAAGTTATAAGCAAACAAGGAGTTTTGGTTAAGTATTTCAACAAAAGTTAAAAGTACATTAATTAATCTTCTAATAGCCTTCCTTAAAAAAAAAAAAAAAAAAAAACTATTCAGAGTTCTTTTAAAAACAAGTGAAAGCCCTACAGGTTGCTGAGCTTCCTCCGCCTTCATCAAGTCCTCATAGACTTCTCCGCCGTCGTCCTCGCCATACACACAGTCATAGAGGTCTTCTTCATCCTCCACACGGGTTTCGCTGAAACAAGGAATGCAGGTATAAAGGTTGTGTTCTAGTACACTGGATGCAACACTGAGACATGCCCTATAGGTTTTAGTCCAAAGTAGACTAAAATTTTCCCACTGATTTTAGCAGAAAATTCAGAGAAGAGGGAAAATGGAATTAGTGGAAAGAGTCAAGAAGTTCTCATTATAACTCTGTCCCTCCCAATTATCTCCAGGACAGACAGAAGAATCCAGCAGTGGGGACAGTGCTAATTAATACCTAACTGGCTACTTTCATAGAACCATATTAATGATCATCTTGCAGCTAGCCGTGGCTCTAATTCTCTGGGCACTGGTTGTCACAGGGGTATGTATGGCTTAGTATTTGAGCTATGAAAAATGATGAATCTGAGAGACCTGGAAGTCACCAGACTTGTCAAAGGCAACCCATCCAGTCTACAGCAGAGTCATGACCTAAAAACATGCTTGTTTTACACTATTTAACAGTCTCATCACACTGCCTCTGCATCCCAGTGTTCCATGGCCTCAGCTTCATTATATAATTAAAGGGCACAGTGTGGGAAGGACAGGAGAGTTAAGGAATAGGTGACATAGTGAAAATCTGTTTGATAACAGCAATAGTTGCTGTAACATTATTACCTAATCCATTTTTTTTGCAAACCATGCTTCTAGAAGCTCACTTAGAAGATATATAGACATCTTTCTACAAGCAAACTGCCTTTATTTGTGTTAACTATTTGTATTTTATTTTTAAAGGGGAGATAGGCAAAGATCTTTAAAATATTTAAAATCTACTTTAAAGCCATTAAATACCACATATCGGTTTCTCAGAAATATTTGTACTTTCCAGCCCTCATGAGCACTTGGACTTTACCAGTGGCTGACCAGGGCACTGTTCCCAAGCCCCTCCTGTGAAACTATGAACATGGTCAAGCATGGCATGCCCTCCATTTTATAACTACTACCCTCTCCAGTTTTCCTTCCTAGTTTAAAACTTCTAGAAATGCCTTCTACTAACACAACCCTAAAGAATGGCCTTGACCAATATAGAGATGTTGGGATGAAACATTAATCTCTCTGAGAATTAAATTCAACCCTTTAATATGACCAGCCCTGAACACCCCTCTTCAGCCTGTACAAGCTGAATGTTATAAATTGACATGAACAAAAGTAAGAACACTATAACTGTGTCACTCTGCAACTTGGAACATTTTTCAAAGCTGGTACAATCACAGGCTGTTTATGTTTGTCATGAAAGATTATTTGGAGGCATTTGACAGAAGCGAACTGTCAAAACCCAGAGAAAAGGAAGGTATATTAAAGGAGGGAACTGAAGCTTGAGAGAACTATGCTCTGAGAAAAAAATCACTTCAGAAATACTTGTCCACCCACCCACCCATCTGCTCATCCATCCAGCAGATATTTTTGAAGAACTGACTGAATTCCACGCTCCAAAGACTCAGAACATCTAGATCAAAAGCTCTCCCATTGAGGATCTGGACCAGTGTGTAAAGTGTTTATCATGTAAGTGGACAACCTGAGTTTGAACTCCCGGAACCTGCATAAAGCTTAGCATGTTAGCACATCTGTAATCCCAGGGTTCTACAGTAAGATAGAAGAGAATCCCTGGAAGTGTGTGGGCCAGCTAGCCAGCCTATGCATGTAATCTCAAATAATGTAGGAGGCAAGGTTGCCACCTGACCTCAAAACACACACATGGGCACCCATGCACCCCACTCACACATGAATGCATATACAAATCATGCACATACATCATACACAATACACAAGCACACATAAACTGACTTTTAAGGAGAACATCCTATAAAGATATAGTTCTATATATGTAACAAGAGAAATTAACACAAACTAAAGAAGCAGGGAAGAGAAAAATCACTAAAGAAAGTCGAGGAAGGCTTCCAAGAGGTCCTATGGCTGAGCTAGATTATGAGTATGTCAGCTTATTCAATAGATATCTGCTGTAAAAATGCTGTTTTCTAGGAGGGCACAGCTACAGTCACAAGACCTACCCTAGTGGAACTTCAATACCAACAAGGCTGGCACACACCCACGTCAAGTGAAGAGAGAGATTGTGCTCCTGAAAAGGGCGATACCATGAAGGTGGGAGTCCAGACAGCCTGGGATGTTGAGCTCGGCAATCCCTCACAGCAGTGTGCTGGACCACTGGAGGGAAGAGCTGAAACAAAACTATAAAGGGACATACTCATACTCCTACTCCTACTCAGTGAACCCAACCTTAACTGGGATATCTAGAAAGCAGCAGGGGCTTTGCAGAGGAGGGAAGGTGGGGAGAAGAAAGCAGGCGGGGGGGGGGGGCAGAAGCCAAGAGGCCCAATGCTGTGAGGCTGAGAGCTGCAACTAGTCTAAAGGTTGATGAGGAAGGAGACAAACTCAGGACTGTGACATCAGACACAGAAACTATTTGGAATTAGGGAGAGAGGAGAAAGAATGAGAGATGACTTTCACTTTGGCTTGAACTCCATGTTGGGAGCTCTGTGATTTCCACTGCAGGGTATTTGATGGAGTTTGGCTAGAAAACAGTGGGGCAATTGGGTTAGTCGGAGCACTTTGTCTCATTATGTCTTAGGGGTGGGTAAGATGGGGTCTCTTTATGCAGTCCCTGGCTGTCCAGTGTCTGGGTATTTTGTGTAACCCATCAAAGGGCAGAGAAGTCTGCTGAGATCAAGATGGGACTAACTGAGATAATCAACTGAGGAAGGGGCTGGTCCTGATGGGAGGAGTCCGGCCAGAAGCAAAACGGACTGTGGAATCCATCACCTGACAGTTTGAATTGAAAGTCTCCTCCTACCTGACACCTAACATCCCCTCCAAACTATATCTTACCTAACAATATTACTAAGCAGGACAAGGTGGCAGATGGTAGGTATTAGTGGCCATCAGTGGTATTCAGCCCATGTGGGGCTTTGAAAAAGAACATCATCACAGCACTGGACATAATACGTTCTTCCTGAGATCCTATTACAAGACCAATAACCTTACAGTCACTTTATAAAACATTGTTGCCAATTAATGAGATAATCATCATCTACTTTACTTAATGGCAGTGAGTTCTTGGAAGTTTAGAAGCAGTAAGAAGCCATCTTCAAAGGGCATTTAAAATATATGACTTCAAGGCCACTCCAAATGTCACGTAGTCCAGAAAAAGCTACCTTCTGCCCGTTGTTACAGCCACCAGTAGGACTCTTCTCACCTGTTCTTCTACTGAGAGCTCCCAGAGCACCAAGTCGTCACCACACATCTCTTCCAGGACAGTAATGAGGAACCTCTAGCTCCAGGGTCTGAAACATCTGGGTTCGAGGACTACCATGAGTGAGGTCATCTCACAAAAGTTAGTTTGATGTACAAATTTGGTTTTTCACTAAATTATAACAGTGGGAACTTAAGTCATTACATGAGATAATGCACAGAATATGCTAGTGCACAAATGAGCAGACAACACGCCCTTACTACTGAATGATTAGATAGCTCAACCCTAACGCCTGGCACACAGTAGGTGTTTAATGTTCCTTCGGCTCATTCATGTGTAGCTGGAGAATTTTTCTCCAGCTCCCACCGCCAAGTCCCGCCAGTTCCAGAGCCCACTTATAAAATAAACACACGGACTCTTGGGGAAGTGCTGTGGGATGGTCTGTATGTCAAATGTGTTGCTGATTGGTCAATGAATAAATCACTGATTGGTCAGTGGCCAGGCAGGAAGTATAGGCGGGACTAACAGAGAGGAGACTTGAGAGAACAGGAAGCTGGGTGAGGGAGACACTGCGAGCCGCCATCAGGACAAGGAAGATGTAAAGTACTGGTAAGCCACAAGCCACGTGGCAAGGTATAGATTAATAGAAATGGATTAATTTAAGCTGTAAGAACAGTTAGCAAGAAGCCTGCCACGGCCATACAGTTTGTAACCAATATAAGTCTCTGTGTTTACTTGGTTGGGTCTGAATGGCTATGGGACTGGTGGGTGTTAGAGATTTGTCCTGACTGTGGGCCAGGCAGGAAAACTCTAGCAACATTCATGTATATACACCAAACACAGCTTCATCTCTTTTTTCCTCATTTTTCATGTATATGTGTATATGGTATAATTGTGTGTGCCTATGCATGTTTCTATGTGTAGAGGTGTAGGTATGTGTGCATATGTGTGCTGAGTATAAGTGTATAGGCCTGAAGTTGGTATCTGGGATCTCCCTTGATGGCTCTTCTAGCTTATTCACTGAGGCAGGGTCTCTCAATCAAATTCAGAGCTCACCCATAGGTCGAGTCTCATTAGCCAGCTTGCTCTAGAGGAAGCCCTCTGCCTCTGCTTCTTGGGGCTAGAATTACAGGCAAGCTGCCGTGCCTACCCACTATTCCAAAAAGGGTTCTGGGAACCCAAACTCAGATCGTTTTTTGCTTGTATAGGTGCTTTAACCACGGAGCCATCCCTCTAGCCCAGCACAGTTTAAAGTTCTAAGAATACAGACATGCCCAGAGTTCCTGCTGTCGCTGCCCTGGAGGGCAGACACAGACAGCAAGCGAAGCAGCCACATTGCCGTAGCCAGAAATAAACACTCTAAAATCACAGAGTAAGGAAAGGGTGTGGTGGCTATTTTTGACGGCCACCAGAGGAAGTAAAGGGATGCCTGAGAAAGACAAATGGTGAGGGGCCAGCAATGCGAGCAGATAGAACAGCCAGTGGAAAGGCACGTTCGGTGTTGGGCAGATGAAAGAATGGATTCCCACAGATTCCAAGAATTGCCCCTGGAGCATAATCCATCTCTTAGAATTCTTTGCAAACATGCCTGAGCTGTGCCATAAGGTCTTTGAGGAGAGAGGATCATGCTTTATATTTATTCTTAATCTGCACAAGTCACTCAATCAGCAGAAGATAATCAGCTGCAAGACCTTCTGCCTTTCTTGACTATTAAATAATAAAGCCCATAGAATCCTCTGTTCCTCTGCTCGGCATAAGCACCATCTACCGATACATCCCTGAATAGCTCCAGCCTGCATCCGTCCTTCCTTGGGCTGGCAACAAAGCACACACTCTCGGCCCTACAACTCCAGTAGTAAACTTTATTTCCTTTTTATTATTCCCTAATTGCGTAATTCCAGTTTTATCTACCTCTCTATTATGCCTTTGAGAAATGTCCAGTTCTTACTTCTCTACTGTTAGGTTTCTCTTCACAGGAACACAGGAAAAGAACTAACAGCCAGTTGGAGCACATTTCCTATGAAACTTCCTATCATCATTTTAAAGATAATATTTATTATGCCTTAATCATCACATCACTTTTACCCTGCAGAGAGCTTATTACAGTTCACATCTACGCTAAGCACAAATTTGGGCGGGCAGTGGCTTAATTTTACTGAAAATATTCAACATACTCTATTAAGTCAGGAAGGCCTTTGTAGATGTCTTCATCATTTACACTTTCTTCTGTAGGGAAAGGCCTGGGGAGGAAGGAAAAACATGGGCGAGTGAGTCATCAAGCTGAGCATTTACCTCCAATTAAATAGTAAAATTTGCTGCCACTCAAACAAGCCATCATACTGAATGATTTCTAGGGTTTCTCCAAAAGTGCTTGCCCAGCAGCTGTGCCTGGGGTTCCCCTGGGGAGACAGCAACACCTGCTACCCCAAATCATCTCCAGCATTACAGCTAGTCTCTGCAGACCCGTGCAGCTGGGGACATGCTAATGTGATTACCTGATCTCCCTCCTGCCACATACCTGCAGGCCCACCCTATGACACTCAGCACAGTGCCCAGTTCGGGAGGCAAGCAGCCTTGCCCATGCCCATGCCTTCACCACTCTCACTCCAGCTGTAAGATCTGACCCAACAAAGATTCTGACCGCAAAGCATCTTTCATGGCTCAGCTCGCTAGGAAGGGTGATGAGTATTAGAAGGCAAAGACATCACACATATGATCTGGACCCTGGCAGACTTTCCTATGCAGACATCACGGTTTAAGTTGCATTTTTTTTTTCTATTTTCATTTTTGGAGACATTAACTAAGTAGACTTCAAAGAGACCGACGAGTTGTTTCTGTCCCCTGTTAAAAACACCACACTTTAATTTTCCCCACTCCTATCATTTAACATCTTTGTTTGGATCATAACATTTCATCTTATGACCAAAATAATGCTTTGAAAGTATGCCTAACAAAATCACCATAGCAATTATATTGTAATGACAAACGCTCTACTCTTTGCCAGTAAGTATGTTTCATGTTTATAAAAAAGGAACCATCAAAATAATAAATTTTAAATAATGGCTAAAGACTTTCATTGAAAGCCAGACTTTTGGGTTATATTTTTATTTTTTTAAATGATTTAGACTTTAGATATATCATGAATTCATTCAATACTTAAGAGAGCAAAGGGATCTACATTTTTTTTTCAAATAAATGAACACCTGTAACCAATCTTTCAAGGTTGTTCTTTTTTAATACAGGAACATTTTCTCAAACTTTCATATCTACATAGGTTACTAAAGAAAATTATAGTCCACTGCTATAAATATAGACAAGAAATTTTCAAAGGGAAAAAAGACTTCTAATAGGTGTCCTTTCAGAATCAAAAGTACACACAAAGCAGGCTATGCTTGTTTCAAAATCTACTCCATACATACAATGACACAAAATTTATATTGACATGAACAGCTACTCATTACTGAAAAGCAAATTAGAAGGAATTGAAGAACGAACCAGCTGATAATCTATTCCTACAGAAAACTGATCAAATCAGGGCCCATTTCTGAGCAACGGTCTTCAGGACGTCCTCCTGGAGACCACTATGATGGCATCCAGGAATTGAGTGTTAAATAGTCCTGTGAGACACATTTGGGTCCCCTCTCTCAGAACTGATATAACCTGGGCACAGAAAAATGAAACCAAAGGTCATAGATAGAGGCTTACAAAGCCCTATCATGGGTGGAGACTAGAACACAAAGCCTTGAAGAAATAAGGTACAAAATGAAAATTCTATTTCCATGTAGCCTGGCTATATCTTCTTCATTCCCTGTTTCTTTTATTCTTTACTGACAGCTCCAACTTAAGTAGTGTGTAGTCTCTAAAAGAGAAAAAGCTTGAACAACTAATACATCTCTACTTCCATGCTTACCAACTGCATTATACTCTATTACATGGAGATGGTACAAATAAACAATCTACTTCCGAACTTTTCATGTATTACCCAACCTTCAACACACATCCTTTTGCATCTACCATTTAATGCTTGTCTGACTGTTCCTTAAACCCATAAAAGTTGTGAGTTATTTTTATGGTCTCTTCTACAGGAACCAAATACATTATATTTTTAAATATTTATGTACTAAAACATTTGCATTTGTCTTAATGAATTATACATATATAAATGCTGAAGAAAAATTTTTAAAGGAACCATAACCAGTGGCAGTCACCAGGGAACTGAGAAGAATGTTCAGTCATTGTACCTCATTCAATTCTATGAGTAAGTTCTTAATTTCTCAGTAAATCTCAAATGTGTGTGTGTGTGTGTGTGTGTGTGTGTGTGTGTGTGTGTGTGTGTGTGTGGCATTTAATATATCAAGACTTTTGTAAACAATAGCCATTCAAGAAATAAAAAAAAAAAACCATTGTGATGAACTACATGGAAGACAGGACCACAGAAGCATGAACTTACCTGATTCCTGTGGCCAACGCTATTGGTGTGCGGGATAGCCGAGATAATGTTTCTATAACCTGAACCAAAAAAAGAGGAAAATGTTCATTGAACATGTATTTAACAAGGTTTAACGGTTTTCTCAAAAGCAACTGTTTTCCCATTCAATATTAACAATGGTTAGAGAAAGATAAATTTATAGATTCAAAGAGTGTAAATGGAAAGTGTCATGATTGGGAAGCTGGGTTATACCTGCATTCCTTCTAATTTATGACTTAAATCAGATTACTAAGAAGTGAGTGACAGTCTCCTTCCAATAAAAAAAAAACCTTAAATATCACATAAATCGGTGTTCCCCAACATAGTACCCACTAAATATGTGAAGCTATTTAAGTCAAAATTTAAAAAAAAAACCCATAAATTCCGTTTCCTTGACTATACAAGCCAGATTTGAAGCACTCAGTCCTCACAGTTTCCGGTGCCTTTTGGAACACACAGATATCGGGTGTTTCCACACCACAGCTGCCATCGCTAAGCAGCAAAGTGGTTGAGAATGCCGCCTCTTGAGCCTGATGACACAAGTTCAAACCCAGGTTTCCCAATCATTACAGGTAACTCGAAGCAACCAGCTACATTCACTATTTTTGGCTTCTTCCTCTAGATAAGGCCTCAGATACTAGCTAGTGATCAGTAGACTATTGTAGACTATGAAATAACACAGTACATGCAAAATGGTTAAAAGGTACCCATTCTTTATAATTGCCAACTTAGAACAAATTGCTTTATTCTAATTCTGAGTGTGTTCAAGAATTTTTTGTTCTAAATTACTTTTGATTATGCATTTCAAAAGCTCCTTATGAAGATCTTCAGCACCTAAGCCCAAGGATACTCGGCTAACAGTTTTTGGCAACCGTACCTAGTGATTTTACAAATCTTTCTTTCAGTCATTTGTACCCAACATCACCTTTGTCAGAGACGTCACTAGGAAACCAGGATTAAGAATGCATTTTCCTCATTGACACCATTTATATGACAAACACAAGTGCTCAAACTCCCATAATTGAGCACAACAAAGAGGTTCTGCTCTGCAATTCATTTAGAGTAAGAGGGGAAATGAGAGGAAAGGTATCTGCCTGGACTGAGATAGTCTAGTGCTCATCTAAAACTCCTCAGCTCCAAGGCAGAAATGTAAGCAATGACTTCCCTCAGAGGAAGTTCTAAAGGGTACCAGCCCCACGGATGGGGTCTCAAAACACCTGGCTCACTAGTGAGCCTATTTGGAGCCCTGTTCGCTAGTTTTCAGATAAACTCACCTTTGCTAGCCTCTACAAAACAAAGATTAAAAACAGCTAATTAACTGCTGCACAAAGTTATTGGGGGAAAATGAGAATGCTCATCAAACGCTTGTGAAGTTTTATTACAGAAAGTAAAATTAGCTACACAGGGGATTGTAATTATATATTGACTATAAATAGCAATGTCCTGTTATCCTGGATTCTTGAAAATTGTGAAAAGAATAGATGTGGCTCATCAGCACTAAAAAAATAAAAGTAGAGAGGACACATATATCAATCAGTTCTATGAAAGCACTCTCCCAGTGCACACATAGCTCAAAACAGCATGTTATACATGACATGTGTATAGTTTTATTAACTTACAAATAAACCAAAAACTGCTTCAACATTTTTAACAAAAGAGCAAAGGAACAGAAGAAAATGAAGCAAGAGACCTGGAGACCAGGGGAGTGAAGGTACTGACCCCCAAATTTTACATCTAACCCTAGTCTCCTACTGAGACACTAGGAAAGAGAAAGAACAGAAATCTGAAGATGCCAAAACCATGTGTTCCTAAGTGAAAAGTCTAGTTTTGGAAAAGCTTCTGGAATAATCTGAGTAGTAGTATTCAGACCCTTGGTTAAACTAGTGTTGAGTTTAGACACACTCTACTGGGATGTGCCAATGCTACAGAATCCCAGAGAACGCTCTGCCTCTTGCTGTGTTTTATGCTGTGGTCTCAGTCCCTGTTTAGCAAGAAAAACAACACAGCAATAATACATTATTACTGCTACTTTCATATGCATTTTAATGGCAATTAATTTTGTTCTTCGAAGATATTTGTATAATTATTATAGATTTACAAAATAATTCGCTTTTTGACTTTTATCTGCCAACACTCAGAACAACTACAGTATTTTTACATCCACATGCCTACCCCCTCACTGCAGGGGGGAAGCTGAAACTAAAAACAAAACAAAACAAAAACGTACAGCTTGATTTGTCACATAACATCCATCCGCCACCAGAGGGAGCCAGACGATAGTCTATTACCTCAGTCTTACTGACTATTTAAGCACACATAGAAAACTAAGCTGAAGCAACTCCTATGATTCAATGAAGACTATTTACTATTCAATCTAAATGACAACACAGATACAAACTCATGCTACAGGGGATGGAAAGAGTGTGAGGTGGTCTTACAATGAGTGGCTGTGAGACCCCTCACTTTTATGCTTATCGTATTTCACATAGTTCTAATATTAAGTTTAGCCAAACCAAATAAAGGCTGTTTGGTCCATATGGTGCTTCTAGAACAACGTCTATTCTATAAAGACAGTGTTTACAGATTGAAAGTGGGCAAGTACACAAACCAATGCCAGATCCTCTGATCCCCTGTGTGGATTCTCTGGCCCGCCCCTCTGAAGCAGACCGGCAAGAGTATTTATGAAAGAAAACATACTGAAAGACACTAAGAAGCTTATTTTTCATGCAATATGTTGATTTTTAAATGGTTATTTCAAGATGATAAATTATGGACATCAATTCCCAGAAAGGAGGATGAAATAGCAAGAATGTTGTAACAATAAGCTATACTGACTCCATATCCTGGACTTCCTTTCTGTACCCACATCCTCTAGCCTCGTGGGTAAGAAAATGCATCTGTAAAGAAGTCAAGGTTATAACTGGGGTAAGATAAATTAGACCTACTGTGTGAGGAAGGGAGAGAAGTGAGCAAGGCTTCTCATTCCCACTTTAAATTGAAGATTACATCCCAGAAGCCATAGGATCATTGAGAATGTTGGGAAAGGAGAAAACAGGGCTAATTGCATTGGGGAAGGAGAATTCAGGGAGTGAACAGAGGGGACAGGAAGTCATGGGGAGCAACCAGTACCAGAAGTCACATAGGAATTTCCTCAATAGTTCAAGAGTACTACAAGGTAGCCACAAGGAGACCTTAGGATGTGAGATGTCCTTGGGAGCTGTGGCTGAACACTGTGACAGCTCAGGAGGGAAGAGGAGACTGGGTGATGCAGGAGCATCCCTGGAGATGCACCTCCTGGAAAGCCTACTTCAAAGTCCCATAGCTTTGATGGGGTATGGCCAGAGCTCTGCAAGGCTGCTGGTTCCTCCAAGGGACCTTCTCTCTGATCCACTCCCACCCCATGCCTGGGTCTCATGTACCCTCTCTTAGACCATGGCTATAATTCTGCCCTGGCACTTATGACTTTATTTAAAGTCTTTAAAATCAGCTTTCAATTTTTTTCAAAAGAACTCAAGATTCTTTTCAAGTTAAAATATTAATATATGAAAGCTGTCACCCTCCACCTCTCTGAGCTCTATCAGAGGGGACCACAGCTAAGAATCTGCTGTAATTCTTGCATCCTCTTTTTCTTTTTCATTTCTTCTTCTTCTTCTAATAAATGAGTTCCTGGCTCCTAGCCTGGCATGATGGTTCACATCTGTGATCCTAACACTTAGGAAGCTGAGGCAGGAGGATTATTACAACTTTAAGACCAACCTGTGACACACAGCAAGTCCTAGGGAAGTATACATTATGGAATGTGGCCCCGTCTCAAAAACAATGAGATTTATTATAAAGCTGTTTTTTAAAATCTTTCTAAGAGTTTTCTAAAACATTCAGAGTCATGCTTTGTCACTAACAATCAATCACAGCCATGCCATCAGGCACAGATGTACTTTGTTCATTTTAATGCTGTGTGACACTCCAGCATATGTAAATAATCTAATGATTTTGCCATTTTCCCATCAGTAAGTGGTTATAACACTCTGCTACAAAGCCAGCAGTCACATCCTTACCAAATGTATGTTCAATTATGTGCAGGTTCTGCTGTAGGAAGAATGGTAAAGAGCGGTGCTTGCGCATGGGGGAAGGAATGAGGAACATTCTTTAAACTGCTTACATGAACTTAGACACGCTTGAAGGGCCTGTGAGGATGCAGCAAGGATTCCAGTGATAGATAGTCGGCTCTCCAACAGTAGGAAATGTCTTCAGGGCAGGAGACCCAAGCCACTTCCCCTCTGTTTGGTTCTCATCGAGTCACTGGACATAACTAGTCGTTGCCCGAGTAAGTGAAGAAGTAATACTTGCCTTGCAAAAATCACTGAGAAGATCCTAGATCGCAGGGGTTGGAATGTGTAAAGGGCTAGCCTGGCACAAGTGGGGGAAATAAAAAAATAACTGAAGAAGGAACTCCAGTGAAAATTAATATTAGTTCACCCAGCTCCTCAACCCTAGAGCCAATAAGAGCGTAGGAGGCTCCTGTCACTTTTTCGGTTGACGATGACTTTTCTTTGGTTAGCTGTTTTACCACTCCATTTGTCCGTTTAAAAGCCATTACATAAAGCTAAATGCAATACTGAATAACGGACAAACTTCCCGTTTTTTAACTATTCTCTTCAAGAGACTCCTGACACGATCCCACTCTTGCCTTATCCAGCACATTAATATCACTATTGGAACCTGCAACTGAAGCAAGCCATCTGCGTAGACGGGAGCATTGCTAAAGCTCCTTGGATGGTCTTGAGTTAAGGAAACCACAGTTGCAGAGAATGGCTGAAGGAAACTATGGGGTCCAACATGCATATCAGAAAAAAAAATACTATTTGTGAATGTACCTTCCTGATTTTCCTAAATTTTCCCTCTTCGCCTATTCTCTGATCCAATAGCTTGGTTCCATAAGAATTCCTGGAGCAGCGATTTTTACAGAGGGGTGGGCTGTGCAGGGGCAGCCAGAGGCTTGAGCCATGAGTACTAAAACTGGCTTAGTGGTTCAGGAGGGCAT